AAAACTACTTTCTCAGAAAGTCAGACATGTAAATCATGTGAGGCCAGGTATGCTATGATAATTTAGTTTTCTGAGCTATTGCTGATCTATGGGATCATCATGGAATGTAGATGGAATATTCAAAGATTCCATCTACATTCCCTGATGATGCTGTAGATCGGTGAAAGCTCAGAAAACTAAATTGTCATAGCATACCTGGCCTCACTTGGTTTACACGTCTGACTTTATAACACTATGCTACTCAAGGACAACATCCAACGCTTGGCTACTTACTTAGTGTTAAGTTCCACAGAAAGGCTTTTCTTATCCCTCGTTTTGGATATCATTCTAACTCTTTACAACCGAACATCAGTAAGCAAGTTCTCCATACTGTTATCTATACATTTCCTGCGGTAGTTACAAAGAGAATTTGTATAATGATCAAGAGCTTAGTGCAGTTTGCAGTCATTTCCTTTAATCTCCCTACCTCAATGTTTGATTCATAGGTGATACTGTTGGGAGAAATTATATACTTATCACTCTTAGGGCGGAAAAGGGTAAGTTTAAATTTTCCTACGTCTTTTTTTTTTCCTAAATAAAGAAAATAAATTCACATACACATTTTATGTGAAGTAGGTTGATAAGAAAGTTTTTTCTTTAAATAAAAATTGCCACACAGACTAACTTAATGGAAGTTTCTCTTTAAGTGAAACACACAATTCCATAGCAAATACATATATTTTTTAAGTGGTTGTTTTCACACTTTACTCAGCAAGATATGTTCTTAACACCACATACATCACTATTGGCACAGTATTACACAAATGACATCAAATTTTTACAATGCACTCTGGAAGTCTGAAGTTAATTTTCTTTGCTTTCAACTTGCATTAATTCTGAATCAGAGTAACACTTTCCATTTGCAAAACTGTCTCGGTGCTGTAGAGTCTTTCTTGCCATTTCTAAAGCTCCTTCTCTTGTCTCATTTCCTCCAATGAAACCACTGGCATGAACAAATATGCAGCCTTTTATTCCACTCAGTGAACTGAGCTGTTCATCTCTTACTCCACGCCATTCCTCTAACAAGCTAAGTCTGAAAAAGAAACAGATTGAAGAGATTTGGTAATAAGCAAGACCATCATAATTCATTTAAACATTTCTTTTATTTTAAAATTGACTCATAATATACCTGTTAACAAAGGAATCAGGACGCACGGAAACACACTGAAGAGAGAAAAAATTGAAAATTTAATTTTGTATACAAAAACTTCACATAAAATTTAAAAACTGTTAAAAACCTCAATAACAGGGTAGAGGAGAAGAGTGAACCAAAGCCCAGATATCGAAGTACAGTTGAACCCGATTAAGAAGCACCATTAAGCGGCTGGTTTTCAAAGTCCCAAATTTTTTCACCAAAATCACTTACATTTTCACCTCAGGCTATTAAGTGGTCACCTTTATTAACCCTAACATCAGTATGCACATTCTCCATACTGTCCTCTAAACATTTCCTAAGATGCCAACATGGAGAATTTGCCTAATGATCAAGAGCTTCCTTAGTCAGTGATCAGCTCATTTATTCTCCTAACCTTAATGTTTGATTCAGGAGTGACATGGTCAGGAGAAATTAGATGTCAGTCACTCTTAGGGGTTAAAGGGTTAAGCCATTGTGGTCACCCTTTATTGAGTCCCAACTTTGCCCTCCACCTGTATTGAACAGTCACTAGCAGTGTTGCCACTCAAAGAAAACTAAGAGCACACCTTCAAGCAAACTTTAATCCAATTTAATCTCCCAAAATCAATATTGGTAGTATTTTTGAGCAAGTTTTTCAACATTTAGTGCTCAATTATGGCATAAAATGGCATTTTTTTATTGTATTTTGTGACACCCATATGGTGTCGGTCATCTTGTATTAAGTGGTCATCCTGTATGAAGTGGTCACCCCGTCCTGTATTAAGTGACTGCTTAACACAAGTTTGGCTGTAGCTCACTTGACAAGTGGTTTGCATGGCTGGGAGTTTAAATGTATATGCCAAGCTTTTCTTTCTCCCATGAGCAATAATTGTCATTTTGTGGATTATACATGATTTGAGGAGAGAAGGGGATCATTGGTCCATAAACATGGAACTCACCTGCACCCTCCAGTTGTTGTTTTGGTCTTTGTATATGGCAAATTTTATTGGTACATCAATATTTAAGTCCTTCTCTAATTCAAACAAGTGTTCCTTCCAAGGACAACCCCTTTCTTGAAGCTCAATGATCTCTCCACTTGGATCAACCTTGCAAAGAAATTTCAAATCATTGATTTTTTTTTATTTTTCAGTACTGTGACAGTTTCATCTTTTTCTCCCAATTAGGGGCACTCTAGGTCAAGGTATCCACTTTTGAATCTTTCACTCTCAAGATCTCATTAGTTATTCTCTTTACTGTGTGCCACACAATTCTTATGATGTTAGTTAAGAAAATTTGGTTTTGGATCAGCAATTAATTCCCTAATTTAAATTTTTCTTAATTCCAATTATTTGTCTGCTTAATGTTGTATTGGATATAGGAGAAATTCTATTTTGATCAGCCAGTAGACTAATTTACTAACTGCTTTCATGAAAATTTTTCATAGGATATGAGCAAGCTGAAAGAGCCTGGGACCAAAATTTAAATTAATGCTTTCAAAGTCACCAATCTTCCAAGTGGAGTGGAATTTCACTAAAAACTAACCTCTTTTCTTTTCATTATTGCTGCTTCAACCAAACTCCTTGCAGGAAGCCATGCATCCCTGTAGTAACAAATTCTATTTAACAGCTCCTCTCCAACTAAATTCACAGCCTTTTGAAATTGTAGCTATAGAAGAAAAGAAACAAGTTGAAAGGCTTTTGATATGAAGAACAAGTAAGACCATAGTCTGAATATCACATTTTGACATAGTGGAACACCAACCTCAGCATTTGGATTTGGATCATTCCAGGATGGATTAAGATGTGATACACGAGAGCTCAGGTTTGTTGTGATGCAATAGCTGTGTTATTAAGAAAACTATACATTAAAAACAATAAAATTATCAAAAATAATTTGGTTGTATAAAAAAAAAGGTCACTCTGTTGCTTTACCAAACTGAACAGAAGTCAACATCTGAGTTAACTGAGGAACTGTTTGTCAGTCAAGTGTTTTTAGTCTGGTTTGTAAAAACTGATTGGTCAAATTTTTTGGCTTTCTCAAGAAGCATAAGTCAGTTATGAATGCTTATTCACAACTGACATATACTACTTGTCAAGTTTTTTAAGTCACACCTACCCCTCCCTCCCTTGGGTCCTAATTTTCGAATCAAAAGGTATTCAAGAACAGCCCTGCTGCATTATCAAAGGATAATGTATCTAAAGTAAGTATTTCATGTTACTGGTGACCCTTTTCACCCAAACATCAGTGTGCATATTCTCCATACTGTTCTCTTTTACTTCCTTAAGAGCTGACAAAGAGAATTTGTCCAACAATCAAGAGCTTCTTTAGTTCGTGATCATTTCCTTTATTCTTGTGTCCTTAAATTTTGATTGAGGGGTGATATTGTGGGGAGAAATTAGATGTTGGTCTCTCTTAAGGATTAAGGGATTAAATACTGTCTCCAATGTTTTCATATACCGTGGTTCATCATCACTTTGACTGATCCCATTGTCAATAGCATCAATTTCCTGAATGAACTTTTCGTAGATTTTGTCATAGATCTCATTGGTCACAGCATCATTTTCTTTAGTCTTCAACACTTGTGAGACCACCCGATGTCCAAAATGAAGATAAACCAGCCCAGCACTGCTAAGTTTGGTCACCCATGGCTTACTTGGACGAAGGGTGTTCATACAATCTGTAAAGCTCCTATCAGGTAAAAAAGAAAAATTATTAATCAATTATCCTGTGTGGAGATATTTTAGTCGCTTTTATAAACTTGCATTTATTTACTCTTTATTTCTATTTGAGCATCCCAAGTTTTTTTCCATTGATTAAAGCTCAGGAACAAATGTCCAGAATGTCATTAAAAAAAATTAGGACAAACACACTGCTCAGAGCAGCAGAGTGAAATTTATCCAAGAAAATTGAAAAAATTATACTCATTTCTTTGTCTTTCAGGACAGCTAGTTAACACACCTTTGATGATGGTCATATCGATGTTTCTCTGGATCATAAACACCCCCAACATCTACCACAACATCACACTTTGCCAGCTCTTCTGGATTTCTTGTCCGTACAATGTCAGCATGTCTATACTCTGGAAGCTGTTTCAGCATAAAGCAAGCAAGGGCTTCATCGCAGTGAAAGGTTCCATTGTGTGTACCTATCTTGGGTGAAATTAAGGGTTTTTTGGCTTCTGGAAGGTCATTTTTCAGTTCTAACTCAGCCATGACTGCTAACCAACTGAAACCCACACAATTTCCTGAAAAATAAAAAATTACCATCATTATTACAGGTAATCATTTGCAGAAATCATTTGCAGAAAGTTCTGCACCAAACAAAATTGTGGGTATTTTCCAAGCATCTCTTTTCAATGCTCCAACTATGATTCAATAATTTAACAAGTGGAGAGTAGGGGGGGGATTTGGGAGACATTATCGAGGGAAACTGGGTGATAGGTCCAAACCTGTCTGACGATCATAACATGTGGCTTTCATCCTAATTTTATTGAAGACACATGTTTGAATTTTCAGTAGAATAAAAAAGAATAAGGAACCCAAGCATCTCCATGAATCGGAGAGTAAACATCGACCCAGCATTGTATGATATCAACCATGCAGCTAACTTTGTTTTCGGTCGAAAATTAGAGAACATTTGAGGTGGTAGTTTAGAGCTATATCAAACTAAGAATTAGAAGTGCTTTAACGATTTATTTCCGTTTCCTCAATGAGGAAACAGAAAGGGAAATTTCTCTATCGATGATCAGGGAAATCGGTTCATGGAGAACTATCGGATGACATTCCACTTGGTTCATTAGGAATGGTTCACCATTTTTTAAGTGTCATTGGAAAAAAAAAACGCGACTCCGAGTCGCCATTACGTAAGTAAATATTTCTCAAAGGCAAAGAAAAAGCGAAAGCGTTGCTAAATAACAGATATTGATTGCATTTACCTCGGTGGAGTATCCCTCTCACCTTCCCGCCGACAGATCGTGACAACACGTGCACGAAGGAACCCGTGGTGATTCGTAAAAACTCGTCAACTGAGATAAGTCGATCGGCAAAGAACGGAGTTTAGAGACAAAGCGTGGCCTTCTTACAGGGGTAGGGTGAGGAGGATGGTGAGCTAGAACGCCTCCTACACGCCCCCTTCGTTGGATCGTTTTTAGTGTGATAGGCAAACTGTAAGTATACAAAGATTAATGATGAGTGTCCGATTCCTACTTTCTCGACGTTTAGAGGTTCGTAGAATAGTAACGACGAGGTTGATAATTCACACACTACTTCGCAATAGGCTCTTTTGATTGGTTTGTGTCAGGAGCTCCTTGTTGTGTCACATGGTACGACTTCACTATTTTCTTTCTTTTTCTATCAGCTTTTTTTAACCAAAATTTCGAGAACACACTAAGAACATACCCAGGCTGTGAGTCAGTTAAGAAAGTCTTTTTATAAAATAATTCAAATGGTACGCGCGCTCTGATTGGCCATAAAACCATTTTACATGAGCGTATGTAAACACGGTTTTCGTTCCTCTTTCATTAGTTATTTTATAAAAGAAATGTAAAATGGTTTCCGTGTTTACATCGCCGAGATAAGCTGGAAACCACTCCGCTTCGCGTCGTGGTTTCCTACGCTTATCTCGTGTTCTCCCAACCTCCCGCGTGTTTACATCAGGCGATGTAAACATGGAAACCATTTTACATTTCTTCAATTTTGCTCATTTTCTTTACTTTTTTCTTTCTTTTTGTTTGTTTGTGAGAGGTATGAATAAAGGTAAAATATTTATAAACTTTACAAATCCAACAGGACAATTAACTCATATACTTAAGGAAAATTTTTAACATTGACAATGCGGTTTTTCCTATTGCATAATAAGCTGAACTTAAACACTATGTTAAAAACTTTAATACGAAAACGTGTTAATCCTTTCTTCGCGAGCGTGGGATAAAGACTAACCTAAGTACTCATAGAGATCGAACCTCGGAACCTTACATGTAATTTCCTCAATCTTCTCCCACTCGTAAGTTTCCAGCCCAATATCACTAGACCATACCTCAAACGGAAGTATAATTGTGGAAATAATTTTATTGGTCTAAAAAGTCATTGAGTTGAAATACAGCGTTAATAATGAAAAGCATTTGATAAGTAACACATCAAGACAATTGAAAGATTCATGAAAGCCAAATAAGATTTTATCCGACTTAGTATACAAAAAAAATCAAAAAAGTACTATAAATACTTAAATTTCGTTTTTTGTTCGGTAAACTTCATCTTTGATTGTAGTCAATGCTGTTTTCCTCACAGTTCGTTGTTTTTGCCGTGGTTTGCAGGACCACCACAAAGCGTTATTTTGTTGTGTTTGTTGAGAATTTAAAATATTTCTTTCTGCCTTGACATTTCTTCAACCGTGACCTTTGTAAAATGATTTGGTTTATTCTCTTCTTAGCCGATAAGGTTCAGTTTGTCTAGAGAAGCCCTGTTTACAGGAAAGAAAAAAAAAGAAGTGATTGACAATAATTCGAATCGAAAACAATAGAAAACTTTTAATTCAGCGTTAGAAGTAACCTGCAGTAAGCCACATTCATTTTCCTGGCTTTGCTTAACGATTGGTAAAAAGAACTCAAGCTCCTTTCTCAATCAAGCGGATGTTATTCCACCTTAAATCGCATTGTTCCTGGGTTCCCATTGACTCCTCGTGATATTTCCCTATGTTCTGATTGGTCGTTGAAATAACTTCGGTTTTTAGGTTAAGACACTAATCGAAATGTACTCCAAGTGACCTTCCAAAGTTTTATGGATGAGAATTACTCCTGTAGACTCACGTGAATAACTCTATCCGCTTAATATTATTTGATTAGACATGGCGAAGAAAGAATAAAGAGGCAGTTTACCTTGCTTCAAGAATTTGCTGTTCTAATCTCTCCTGTGTAAAGAAAAATACATAAAAATTGTCAAATTGACTGAAAAAAGCTGATTAAACACAACACTGTCACTGTAACATCCCACACGTTATATCTTCTCACGCAAAAGATCTTGTGACAGGAAGTATCGTAACAAGCTACAACGAATGTAACCCGCGACAGATGTTCAGTTCATAAGCGCAGCGCGGTGTTTGTGGAGCAGCGAAAACTTTAAAGCGCAGAGTGAAAAAAGGAGATGGAGGAATGGGTCGAGTCGCCGCATTCAGGAACTGAACACGTGCAATGTGCCGCCATCTAACAACGTTAACTTACCTTAACGTTTTCATTCTTAGCACGGTACATTCTCCCCTGTAAGTCATCAATCTGAATCCTGATACCAGCCGCATTATGCCACACTCTGATCTGACGGTCTGCTCCGCCCGCGGTAGCCAAGTAACGAGAACTGGGGTGCCACGCAATGGCTGTGATGTCATCTACAAATTGACAACAAAAAATAAGGTGACTCAATCATAATGCCAATCCGACACGTAATAGTGAAAATGTAGCCTGGCCTCCTACACACGCCTCTCGATACTGCTCGCGAAGCCCGCGAAAGTCGTGCTCGACTCACTAAGCCCATGAGGTTTTCGCGCAAGCGCTTATGAGAGCCTGCTTACAGGCTAATGCAAATGTGGGATAATTTTGGTTTCATCAACTGAATTTATAAAGTAAGTTGAGTTGATAAATGCGAGTTTGGTGAAAGGGTTGAATTTTTTTACTAGGAAAGGTTCAATTTTTTAAATTCAAATCTAAATAACTAACATATAATCTTCTAGCCGACTTGTAGTACAACGTTTATCGGAGAATTTACGAAGAAAAAAAGATTTAGGAAAAATTGGATGAGTGCGATTGGTTTTAGTTTTGTATTTGATTGGTTGAGGAAGTGGCGCAAGTTCTCTCCACCAATCACAAAGCGAAGTAAAGCAGAACCAAAGCAATAACGGATTACTTTTGACACTCAGTTAAAAAAATTTCTCCGATACCTCCATGTACTTCCTCTAACAGCTCCTCCAGGTTTCCATTCTCTGTGTTGAAAATTCCAATAGATCGTCCCATAGCAACAGCCGTGACATACGCATCTGGGGACATACTTATCAGCATGTTATTGTAGACTCCAAATGAGGCGTCATATATTCCTGTCATTAGTAAATGTGGGTCTTGTTTCTTCGTGAACTCCACTGGATAATAAACCAAAAGAGGATGTTTAAGAGCCTCATCTGTACAACATGACTTCCTTACTAATCAATCAGAAAGACTTCCAACAGACCAACACTTGGGTCTTTTTCTACAAAAGTTTTCTGGAATGGAGGAAAGAGCTTAATGGCTTAGGGAGAGGGGAGGTACTTCTTGGAATACTTGATAGCCAAGAGCTACCCGATTTTCCAAATCTTGACCCTATTTCAGTCCAAAAGATACCATTTTGTTCACACTTTATTGAGACTCGGCATCTGTTCAAACGTTAAACATTGGTAAAATTCACCTCGTTTTCTAATCCTGATTTGCAGATGAGAAGACAAGTAGAATAAACATACTCTCCTGTGATTTCTTGGAAACCGTACCTAATATTAATTCAGAACCTATCCAAAAACCGCTCAGAAACCGTGCTTTTTGGGGTGGCACAAACCTGTATAACCAATACAAGGGACAACTTTGCCTAAAAATTGTAGTGTCAGATAAACTCACCATCGATGTCCCATATTTTCCAGGTTCCATCCTTTGATACAGTTGCCATCCTGGAAAGAAAAAAATGGTGAACCTGTTTAAAATTTTGACAGATGACCCTCCATCAAGGCCTTTGGAATGAAAACAGTAATTCAGTGACAATGAATCAGCTCTCACCTTGTAGAATCTGCTGAAAAACTAAAATGAAAGACACCAGCAGAGTGACCTTTCAACTCCATTGCTCTTGAAACCTGCTTGAATTCATCTGTCTTTGTGAACTCCACAACCCACAGTTTCACATCGGGGGTGAAACCTGAGTAAAAACAATGAAAAGTTAATGAGATCTACTCATAGATGACTGCAAAGCATGATGGTCACTATTCTCACTTAATTTTCTTCATATCTCTAGGTTCAAATAGGGGGAGAATATTTCAATTGAAACCATTTTTTGAATTTAGCTGGCCTGTTTTAAAAATCAACCACTTAATTGGTCAATCATAATGCACATAACAAATGAGAGATATAATACTCTAATATACCTGCTGATGCAACAAATTTTCCACAGGGAGATAAGCTTGCGTAGCTGTTGTTCATCTGACGGGTGTCAATTATTGACAGCACTTCACCTAAACAAGTTTTAGACAAAATAAGAGGAGCAACTTTATATTATTACCATAAATGAGAATGTAAGAATGTGGAAGGGAATACTAAAAACATGTGCAAACTTGTCATGATTAATCTTTTGACACTCTAACACCACAAGAGAGATTGATTCTTATTATTAATTCGTGAAATTGTACTTAGATTTGCAAAGATGAGAATACTGCACTGCAAAATTTTAAATGCACCAAAGGGAACACTACTATCTTTAGAACAGCTGAAAGCAATATGAAGTATTTCTAGCAAGTTAAATAGAAAATATCTTCAACAACCCTGGCACATAGAAGTTCACTGGAAATTCTAAGAAACTGACAAGGTAAGAGCTAAAATGGGATTTTGAAGGGAGGAGGGGGTTAAAATCAATTTTTGTCAGACTATCACAAAGCTGGAATGAGCCTTACCCTTTAAATTCCAGATGATTATTGTAGTGTCTCTGGAACAGGACATGATGAATTTGCCATTGGAGGCCACAGCAATATTGATAATCTCTGCTGAATGTTTGACAGGAAAATCAAATTCACCAGTGACAGAAGCTCCAGAACCATCTTTCTTTTTGTTTACTTTGAATACTCGGATTGTGTTTCCATTTGCTAAGGCTGTAATAAAAGCTCTGCAATACAACAAAAGATATCATGAGTGTTCCTGAAGAAAATATTTTCACCCTTTACTCCCAAGTTCTTATTTTCGATTCTTCTCTTTCACTGCTATAAATTCCATTAATTCTAATTTAAATTTGCTATGATAATTTGGTGTAAGATCAAGATAACAACTTTTACCTGATGAGTTTGAGAATTCTCATTACCTGTTTCCTGGATAATGTAAGGATATTATAGGGAGAAGTTTAATCTTAATCACTTATAGGAGTTAAAAGGTTAACTGAGTTAAGAAAAATAAGACTTGAAAAAAGAAAGAAAGAAGATCTCACTCAACTTATGAATTACTGTGTGTTGTACAGTTTTTCAAAGGATATTAGTCACTGTACATGTTCAGAGAGGTTTTTCAATCCATTTCAGTGTAAGATAAAAAGAAAGGCTTTCAACATTGAGGATAAAAATGTGCTCAAAGAGGGAGTTATAGAGTATCAAAATTCCTATTAAATGTAGGAATTTAAACTCTATTTCAACCAGTCAAGAATAGCATTAGGTGTTCTGAGGTTTTCACTCATCACCAGGAATTTAATCAAATTAAAATGTTATTTTGGGTCAATATTAGTATCTGAGCAACTGCACCCCTACCCTTCCCCTAACTCAATATTAACCCTTCCTTGTTATAAGTTGACTGTTGTTGGGTTAGGGGAGGGGTAGGTGCGCAGTTGCTCACATACTGACATTAATCAGATTTTTAATCTGTCTTGTAGTGTTTATTAATTAACTACAAATTTATCTTAACTTGAAAAACTTCAATAAATATTGATTTTAATAAGTGCTATCTTAGTACTGTATTTCTTTTGAGAGATTTAAATTCATTGTAAGTTATTTTTTTAACTTTGCACTGTTAAACTGTGAGACACAACAACTTAAAAGAAGAGGTTAACCTTTAACATTACACTAATCATTTGAAAAATTCTTGTTAAATGAGGTGGCATCACCCGGAAAAAATGTATGATTATCATAATTAGTCATATCTACAAATTTCATGCATTTTTTAATAAATAATTGTTATAAAAAAAGAATGTTTTTAAAACTTTACAATATTATCAACCATGCAAGCTTAGGTTTATCAAGTTTGAACAAACCTGAAGCGAACGGGTTGTTGTTGAGTTGTATCTTCACTGTTGACAGAACAGTAAGAAGAAGAGAAGCTTAGTTAACCTTTTATAGCCTAACATCAACATGCAAACTCTCCATACTTTGCTCTATACATATCCTACAGTGCTGATGAGGAGAATTTGTTTAACAATCAAGAGCTTTTTTAGTTAGTGATCATTTCCTTTATTCTCATGACCTAAATGTGTGATTTGGGGATGATATTGTAAGGAGAAATTAGGTGCTAATCATTCTTAGGGGTTAAAGGGTTAGAACAGTTATTTTACACCTTTGAAGAAATGAAGATTATAGAAGTGTGAGTGACAACACTGAATGTGAGAGAGAGGGCACATTCTTGCAAAATTTAACAATGTTTAAGTTATTTGATTTCAAAATCAAAACTTGTGATACACTATAGCATACTAAGATAAGATCAACTGAACAGAGTGTCCTAAGAGGGAAAGAAAAATGAGAAAAAAAAAATCATTTAAAATTAGTAATATAAAGAGAATGTGATGTGACATGTAAATCTCAGCTAAAACTCAGATGTCGTGTTTCTGCCGTGCCAAACTTAATTGCAACAGGTTTGACTAGAGCATGGCAGAAGCACGTCTCTGATTCAGACATCACACTAGAGTTGTGTAGTGTCATTCAGCTTGTCATGCATGGTATTCGACTCTGGTGTGATGCTAGATTCAAATTTCAAGCTACAATTGGTCTAAGTCTTGAAATTCATTGATTTTTTCAGTTTGACACAATGATAACAAGGTGTTTGAACATAAAGGATAGTAACAAACTGTTACTATGTTGCAGCCTGAGGAGGCCACTTATTCTTAGAGTTAGTATATTTAATCATGTACTAGAGTTGGTTACTCTGCAGTGACTTCTCTTAACTGATTCAGCGAGTTAAACTCAAGCAGAGGCAAAGGAAAAGATGCACAATCATTAAAGTAAAAACTGGTATAGGATAGCATTCTCTCCCAAGATCAAAATATGAATTCTCTGCATTGTCTGCCATATGATTCTATTAAATTTTTGGATCAATATCAGTATCTGGGCAACTGCCCACCTACCCCTCCCCTAACCCAACATTAACCTTAACTTGTTGTCAATTGACTTTTGTTGAGTTAGGGGAGGGGTAGGTGGGCAGTTGCCCAGATACTGATATTGATCCAAATTTTTTTCCAAAGAATGTAGTGTTTACTCAGACAATATCTACAATTTTATGATTTTCTTTTGACCCTTCATCTTTCTGCTTGAAAATGTATTGATACTGAGAAGAAGCTTGCCTTATGTTCATTCCTAGATTGAAAGGTATTTGAGTAAATTGACCTTTGATACCCAACAACACCTACATTTCAGCAGCACCCGCTCGCCCCTGAATTTTTCAATTTACAACAAGGCCAAATAGTCCGATTAATTCTTACAAATAGTAATTTGATAAAGATTCTACTAGTTATACATCATCTTACCTTGTATCTGGACTAAAATTGACTTTTGTAGCATGATCAAAATCTACATTGGCTCGCACATATCTGAAAGTAAAAACAAAAAAAAACTTTTTTATCTGCCTTATTTCCTGTGAACCAACTTTAAGTTCTACCCACCAAACCCTCACAGGATTGTTATCAAATTAATACTAAAGGACAAATATGTTAGGAGATAATAGTAATTAGTGTGAAACCCTTCACATGTATACTAAAGAGAAAGATGAATTTAAATGGCTCTTTGCAGCTTGATATGTTAGCACAACAGTAATTGGATTTAGATTATTTAGGACTTCAGTCTTTTATGGAGAGATAAATTACCCTCACATTCAGGTCTATTCTAACCTTAAACCATATTTATATTAGTCTAACAAAATATTCAAGAAATCTGTCTAACTTCAAATTGAGAGCTGAATTTCTCCTTCAGTAATTTTACATTAAACACATGCCTCTAATTTTCCTTTCTGGTCTATAATTAAAGATAATCTCAAAGTTCAAAGAACTGCAAAGAGAAACCCTGGAAAATATTTTCAAAACTCTCAGATATATTTTTATTATGATCCAGTTTTCATCCTTACTTGTATACCACTCACACTTTGCTGAAAAAATTTTGTGCATTATCATTTGATATCTTTGCCATAAAAGTATTCACCTTAAATAGCCTTCCTAAAAAAATATCTAATTTGTCTGGGTTGTTAAAGAAATGTGATCCAATAAGACAATGTCAAATCCTACCTGTCATTTGAGTAAAGAAATATTTAATAATTAATAACTTACTTATGTTCTTTCTCTTTAAAATCCTTTACACTCCACAATCTCACTGTTCTGTCTGGAAAACAAAGATTGAAAATGTTGTTGTTTAATTAAAAGCATTTCCTATTTTTTTTTAAAAACTATCAGAGTGTTCTCTTTCTTCAAAATTATCTGGGATAAAGATTTTCAAAAAAGTTTCCCTACTGACAAAAAAACTGGTGAAAATCTTGGTAATAAATTAGAAATATTTTAAATCTTGAAGAAATACTTTGAAATTTCTTTTACTTCTCTACCAACAATAATTAGTAACCACTCTAATCTGCATCTTTTCAGAATGATAAATGACCTGGATGTTTTTGCAGTGTTTTCTTTATTTTTAACAAATAAGCACCATTTTCAACCAATAGACCACTTCACAGATAATATTCCTATTGTGTTAACAGATGTTGTTTCACTTCCTAAGTACTTAAAATGTAATATAAAATTTTTTTAACTTTGTTGTTACCAATTACACTGGTGAACTGATCACAACTAACAAGATGTGATACAAGCAAAATCATTTCAGTAAATTGTGAGGAACAAAAGATCATAATCTGACTTCTTGTTTCTGAAATAAGGAAATCATTCAATTTATCAGACCAGAGGAAAGATGACTGATTTTTCTTTCATTAACAACTCAGTGAAGTAAATACTGAAAATTCTCCCACAATTTCTGTTTTAAAAACTTGTTTGTTTGATATCATCTGTATCATCCTCTTCTCCAATAATAGCATATTTCAAATGGTCAGACAAAATTAAAATTTTGTGTAAAAATTCTTTAAATATTGCATCACTCAATCAAGTGTCTTTAAAGAATGACACATCATTAGACAAGATTACAAATTTCTAAGATTATTCTAAGATAAACTCTTATTTCTGTGACAAAACAGCCGAAAAATAAAATCCAGAGAGAGAGAGAAAGAAAGACTTCGAATGTTAACTTAATTAACTCTACTCAATTTGTAAACCCAAAAAATTAGATCAGGCTGGAAATGTTTGAATGTTTGCGTATTTCATTTAAACTATCCTTTCGATATCATATTGGCATAAAACCAGCATCCTCTATCAACAAAACAATGCAAATAAAGATAAGCTCCAAATTGACTGATTCAATTTTCTGGAAGTCGGGGGGATTCCGCAATGAACTGCTCATTGTAACAGACCTGGCAATCATATTTCTGCAATCGCACATTTTAAGCAAGAATTTTGCAATAAAACTCATCGTGTAAAATGTCACAAATCCACATGAAAAAACAACATAAATAATAAATTGTTTACACCAAATTTCGTTTAAGATAAAGGCTTAAATGAAAAATAACAAGGTTGATATCACTTGCACGTGACAAACCAAAATTGTGTACGTGTACACCAGAGAAAATCAATATAAATCCAAAATAAGCCAATTTTTCCATAAGACAACCTAGAGAAGTTGACGCCATGTATTTTCCGTTCAAGCTAAACTCCAAATCAAAAACATCTCCTGTGTGGCCTTTGAGAATAGCGAACTGTCTGGGATGATTCTTCAATTGAGGATTTCCCCTTTTTCCTTTAGGATGCTTCGTTTTGTCTTTGCTTTCTCCATTGATCGGGTGCTTCTCTTCTAATTCTGGTTTAATATTCTCAGAGCTATCATCTTTTGGCTGTTTACTCTTGAAACCGATGTATAGAATGACCAGTAATACTACAGCAGCAATTACTGAAGATAGTGCGATCGTACTCAGAGTAGCAACCTCAACAGCCGCCATGTTGATTCACGATAATAGCACCTGTATGGAGCCTCGTTTTCACTATAACGCTGTTTCGCGCTTTTTCACGCACGCAGAACGTTATCTAAACGAAATTTTCGCATTCTATGCTTTCAGGTTTTAGTGAGGAAATTAATTTAACTTCTTAATAGAAAAATGTAGCAAAATCTGCGTTTAAAGCAGGACTCCTCCAGCTCACCTGAGGAACTAGACATAATGTATTTTCCATTACTGCTAAATTCGACTCCCTCCACGAAAGCATCATGGCCTGTCAAAGAAGCAGCTTCCAGTGGGTGACTAACACCAGGCATGTTGGTTCCCGTCACCTGAATTTTTATACTTGTCCTTCGCAGAACGTTTGATTCCCTGTTTACAGCCAGGGCTAAAACTCGAATTGGACGTTAGGAAACCACTTTTTCAAGACATTAGCCTCAGCAAAGTTGTTTATATGTGGGTAAAGTGAGCGTAGACAAAACGTTTTGCCCAGCACAGAACAATGAACCTCGAAAATGTAGTTAGGGCTCTGTCTACGGTGTTCAGCATAAATAGCGTCGCGTGGATATTTTATGAATTTAGAATAACCTGCTGGTGACAGGTTCAGCGAAAGCTCTATGTTCTGGCATGTAGCCAATAGGGAAAAGGCTCGAGAGTTCGTGCAGAGCGCGCGCGGTATTAGGTGTGCTTAGCTCGACAGCCACCAGCTATCCAGCGCAGTAAGATAACTAATTATGGATAAATCTTATGCGTGGGAAGCGACCTGCTGAGTGAGAAGCAAATTAGATTAATTATTTAATCTTTTGTGGCTGTGGTTTGCGATAAAAGCAAGTAGAATGGACTCCGCAGCAATTAGGTGCTCTCGACTTAAAGACAGTGTATATCAGCTGAAGAAATAATTCGGTCATATGGTTATGACAAAAGTGGTTTATAGCTAAGCCTCTTAAAATGCAAATCTTTCTTCACTTTTAAGATTTCTCTCTGTAAAAGTTTTAAGGCAAGCGGAAGTTACCGATGTTTATTTTAAGAAACAGCCCAAAAACATCATTGATTAAAGAAAAACAAAGCTTAGATTTTTTATAAAGCGTCCGAATTTCAAAGCACATAAAGGAACTTTCTTCTTATAACTTTATCTTAGCTGTGAAAAGATAGAAGCGACGAACTGAAAATTGCACACTGATTTAAATGTGTGCATCGAGAATTAGTACCGACGAGTAAAAGTATTATATGTTTCTGAAAAAGATGTAGACAATAACAGCACAATGTATAAAAAGCGTAGTAATTTTCGTTTCATTATTGTATTCAATATCTCCTGCAGAGAGACATGGATGGGAACAACAACTAACGATTTTCAGTAGTCTGTGAGTTTTAAACGATGTTTTTGCTAAATCTTATTGCTTATGCTCATCTAAAAGCATTCTCTACCGATATTGCATGTGAATGGATCTTTGTATAAAAAGGAAATAGAAAATACATGTCGTAATTGAATTTTCTCAGATTCTGAACGTTTTTAAGTCTTGAAATAAAAATGTTTTTTTTTCCATATCAAAGTATGCATATGTCTCAAGAGAACTCTTGTATACATTTTCATATTTTGTCTTGGTGATCCGGTAATAAAATTGCACTCTTGAGTTCTTTCAACAAGACTGTAAAGGTTACTCGTCTTTTGTTAATTCAAAAGATAAATGAATTATCGTATTCTACTTTCATGCTCTCAAGGTGTGAAATCTTGTTTTCCATTGTCGTTAGTTATTCATTTTCTCGTCATTTTCTTGTTGGCGAGGAATTTTTTTAATAATAATTTTTATCAAGAATTTTCTATCAAGAACTTCTGCATGAAAGACACGAATTCAGGAAGAAACTGAACTGAGAGTGATGTATGATTTTAAATTGTATCTTTAATTTTTTTCCAGAGGACATTATGGAGTGTTTGTTGGTTTTAATTCATGAAGTGAGAAGCGTAGCAATCTTCTTGATTTACTCGGTCCTTCAAAATTTCAATTCCATTTAAATTTACTCAACGGAAGATATTTTTAGATGAAAAATGCAAATAAGTTGAGTAAGGTATTTTTTGTTAACGGCGACTCCCCAGTTTTTATGTATTAGAACTATACGCTGAATTTGCGGCAAAGGAAATACATTACTGCTTCTAATTATACTAAGTAGACAGAGTGATCCTTAAACGATACACGAATAAAATAGGTATCAGTCAAATATATTAACTTGGAATGCATTAAAGCTCTTGAGGTCAGAAAAATGTTTTGACGGTGCCTTAACCCAATGCCGATCGGATATTTCCAGACTTCCACCAAGACAGGTTTTTTCCGACAATTTCATCAACTAAATGGATTTCCTTGCGAATATTTAGAGCCAGCTTCTAATTATCTCACTGAATGACTAATTGTGATGTTATTCTCTACCAAACGTATCGAAATATTCTGCTAAGTATGTTCCCTCTATTAAAAGCTGATTAGAAGAGAGACTGTTACTAGTTAGCGAGGATATATCACCAGTCTCTCACGGCCAATTTTTCCAGCTGTCAAAATGGCGAACGATGAGAAGCCTCTGATCTCCAAGAACGTTCTTTACGCAGGAGAAGGTGAAATACCATCGTTTGAAAATGGATCAAAGGTAATTTTTAGCGAAAAATCAAGTTGTCTTTCTTATTTGTAAATTTTAAGCGGGTAAAATTGCTAAGAAATTTCTACAAGGACATTTACTTACCAAGATTTTCTCCATCTATTCAAATCAGGCGACTTTTCATTTTAAAACGTTCAAAAACGATGAAGATAAGACACAAATAGACTGCAGTCGAGATCTTGGGCAGCCTTTTGAGCTCCTCATTGGGAAGAAGTTCAAGCTGGAAGTTTGGGAGGAGCTCATAAAAACCATGAGGGAAAAAGAAGTCGCTCGTTTTATTTGTGAGAAATCGGTAAGATATTTTAAACTTGATTTAAGTTTACTTAAGGTAGCTCACACCGGTTCACAACTTTTCTACTTTGGCGAAAAAGTTCTTTCAATTAGGTGATGATATGATTTCTATATTAAAAAAAGTCCAATCATTGTTGAGCCTATCCTTTAGCTAACTTGGTACAGTCGATCACATTAACTAGTCAAAATACCTTAATTTTGGATCTTATACAACAGCCGCAACGCATTTTATTCGGGACTTAATCTTTGTTAGGACCCTAGAGAGAACTTTGATTTTTATTAATTTTCTGCTTATGTTGCCGTTCAATCTTACACTTGATTCTGTTTTTTTTTTGTTTTTTTTTTTTGTTACTATAATTTGGCAATTGATGTACATGAATTAAACTTAATTAAAATTTAGCTTAAGAGAGTAGGCTATGTGACTCACTGTTAAAACAAGGCCAATGTGAAGAGGTAACACTCTAAATATATTTCTTGATTAAATTACTTTTTGAGAATGAACAGCAATAAAAAGCCTGCATATAAGACTGACACATATTATGGCTGGAGCTAAATTATCCAGCTATTATCTCTATGTTGGGACTAGGATTTTCAAAACTCTTATTGGATGGAATGCTATTGTGTTGCATCCATGTGAGCAGTGATAAGCAAATTAAAGTTAACCTGCTGACTGATAAGAGTGATTAGAATCTAATTTCTTCTTATGTTATGTTATACCCCCATTATCATGCATTAACCCTTTACACACTAACATCAGTATGCATATTCTCCATACTGTTCTCCATATGTTTTCCAAGGTGCTTATAAGGAGAATTTGTCTAAAAAATAAAGAGCCTCCTTAGTTGGTGATTATTTCTTTTATTCCTGTGACCCTAATGTGTGATTCAGGGGTGATATTGTAAGGAGAAATTATATGCTGATCACTCTCAGGGGTCAAAGGGTTAAGGTCACAGAAATAAAGGAATTCATCATCAATGAGAGAAGCTCTTGATTTTTGAACAAAGTTGTTAGCATTTTGGAAATGTACAGCAAAAAGTATGGCAAGTATGCTTACTGCTGTTAGAGTGCAAGTGTTCATTGACTTTTCTGTTGCTAGCTTGTAGGGGGCTATCCTATAGTTGCCAAGAGTCTGCGCACACTTGCAATGAAGGCAAAAGGAGAGATAAAAGAGAAACATGATCATCATGAACATTCTTGTAGTTTATCTGCCATGAAATCAACTGGATATCCTGACTTGGATGACTTGATGGTCAATGAACAAGATCTTATCTTTGAAATTGAACTTTTGAAATATGAGAAACCTGGTGAATACCGAAAAGAAACATGGCAGATGGATGCTGAAGAAAAATTGTCCAATGTACCAGGGTTAAAGGAAATTGGAAACAAATTATATCAACAGAAAAAGTACAAAGAAGCAGCAGAAAAGTATGCAGAGGCTCTGGGATGTCTAGAGCAGCTCTGCCTGCGTGAAAAACCAGGTGATGAACCTTGGCTCGAGCTTGACAGAATGAAGATCCCTTTCTTGTTAAATTATGCACAGTGCAAGCTCTTTCTTGGGGATTACTATGAAGTTATTGAGCACACATCCACAGTACTTGATAAGGATAAAGACAATGTTAAGGCTTTATATCGACGCGCTAAAGCTCATGTAAAATGCTGGAATCCTCAGGAAGCCAAGGAAGATTTCAACAGGGCAGCTGCTCTTGACCCATCTCTGACAAAAACAGTGAAGAAAGAACTTGATGAACTTGAAAAACTTATTAAAGAACATAATGCAGACGATAAAGAGAAACTGAAGGCACTTTTTAAGTAACTCTTTGAAAATCTGTGTTATGTCAGGTGTTTTGTCAAAGAAGAAAGCTTTTTCAAGCAAATTAAATGTCAGCAAATAATTATTGTGTACCTTTGAATTTCAGGCTGATTTGACATTGGCATTGGAACATTTTTAAATGTTAAAAAACTTGATTTGTGTAAATATTTCTTTATTTATTAACTATCCATAACAACTCAAAAATGTGTCTCAATTCAGAAATGTCAGAGATACTAAACATATGCCGTTAAGATAAACTGATACAATGATGTAACTCATTTGTAATCTGAATTCATCTATTTTGCTATCATAACAATAATTAAGCTCAGACTTTACTGCAAGAAAACAAAAGGAAAGAATAAAAAATATTTATTACCACTGTCTTGTATGAAATTTTGAACTTTGAGTGTAAGTCATAGTAAAATTCCATCAAAGATTTGTGTATCATTATGAGTGCCATTTGAAGCCTTGCTTAGAATCAATATATCAAGTCCTCATGTATTGCAAATTATTTGCAAAGATATCCCAAGAACAATAACAGCAATTATATATTTTTCTGTGTTCAAGTGGACTTGTTTCCTGACATATCGTCAATTACATACAAGTTAATCTCTACTTTTAATGCTGTAGATTTAAAACTTACACAAGAATTAAATTAAAATGCGCTTACTTATTAAAAGTTTGCAGCTGAGCCTACGAAGAAAATTTTTTAATTAACACAGTAAAGGCTGAGGAGAAAATTTTCTCCAGCTTTGAAGAGTTGATGAAGTCTTTGCTGTGATTATTACTTAGTGTTTGCATCAGTGATCAGTGACAAGATTTGCATTTTTACCCTATCACGTTTGCAAACAATTTATTTTGTCTTTTTAGACCTTGCAGACAATTTTTTTTCAATATTTTTTATACCCCCCTTCAAAAAAATAATAGTCCGACCTCTAAGTATTCGCATCTGATTGGTTTGGGAGCAGAAGGTCAAATTCTTTAAATTTGTACACTAGCACTTTCAAAGTTTCCCGCGAAAAGTCTACGCCAGAAAAAAAAATTGTAGGATAATTCACAGTTAAGATTTAAAGCATTGTTGCCTGGGGGAAGGCTCACTTTTAAACCTCAGGCAGCGAAATATTGCGGCAAATTACACTGGGCATTTGTTCCATTCGTGAAAAGCGTGTGCATGAATCGCACTTATCTGGAGCTATAATTTGCATTATAGCAGCGGTGTTTAGGCGGAAATTGTCTGGCGTTTTCTGTTAAAATAACTATAGCACCTATAAATAGTATTTATTCTCAGTTATCTCTCTCGTCTGCGACAGTTCAGCTCAAGAACATCATCTACCTCGAATGCGATCTTTCCACGAGTGCGAGTAAATTATACTCAGCTGCTTCTCAATCGGAAAGTATGCTACTATTAACTTTGCCGTGTCTTCAATACTTCAATCTCTTATTCATTTTGCTAAAAGCCTCTCATAACTTCTAAATTGGTCAAAGTTTGCACTGAGCTTGGGTTAAACACGGAAATCCGAGATCCTTGGTCTCGCGTCACGCTGTCCATGTTCCTTATTTCCCGTCGCTTAGTTGCGCGCGTTTGTGTGCCAGTTTGACCAATCAGAGCGCTCGTTCTGATACTCGGTCCTCTTCCAGCTGTTTTTGCTTAAAACGAAATAACGACAACATGGCGTCTAAACTGATCACAGATGTATTTCCTATAACCAAAAAGGAAAGGCCGGTAAACAAAAAACAGCCGCAAACGAAGCTTTCGGATCCAATCCAGAAAGGTTAGTCTCTCTTCTTGCTCTCTTTATTTCCTGTTTATTTTGAGATAAGGTCTTGACTTCTGTTTCTTGTAGATGCTGAAACTGTAGTTGCCAAAGATGTAACTTCAGACCTCGCGAAAGAGCTTTTGATGCTGAAAGAGTTTGACTTAGATTCCGAATTTGGGCCATGTATTGGTATGTTGAAATTTTTGTGTTATCTTCAAAAATTTAAATCACTTCTCAGCGGGGCTGGTTATTTTAATTTATCGGACTGGCCATTTTTTTTTAGTTTGATTTTGGCTGACATATTGCCTCTTCTCAATTGAGCTTCGTGTCTAATCTGTTTCTGAGCAGTTGTCTTTCTTTTTTACCCCTGAATTTCAATGTTTCCCGCGGAAAGTGAGGTGACACAAAGTTCACTCAGCCTAACGATTAAGACAACCGATTTTCATACTGATAGAACATTTGTTGTGTCTGTATTGGCTGAAATCACTCGTGATTTAATGTTATTTGTAGCTTATCTTCGCGTACGGGCTTTCCTGTTTACTTTTAGGAATAACCAGACTACAAAGATGGGAACGAGCCAAAGAATATGGACTTTTTCCTCCTGAGGAAGTCAAGGAAATAATTCTAAGACATCCCAATGACATAGCATTCACAGAGTGGTAAATACATTTTGCTTGTTCTGCTCTAGACAGTGTAACCTTTATACTTAGCGGTGCTACATGTGGGCTCTGAGGTATCTGTCAACGCTAGTTAACCAAATATATCTTTACTTTCTTTCAGTGTATGGTTTGATGCCAATCTTTGAAACGAAACAAAGTGTTGGAACCATATGTACACAACATGTTGTACTGTACAACAAAACATTATTTTATCTTCAAGAATTATTCTAGGAAAAAAACTCTCACGAGTTCCCAGTAAGGTCTACATCTGTATATATACTTGCATGAAATGTCCCTGTTTAGGTAGATAAGAGAATAATAACCTAGTGTTGTCTGCTGTAAATATGAATTTTGTTCCAGAAAATTGCACCATCTTATGTACAGTTTGCAGTCCTTGTGTGTGTAAGCTACTGACAGTAGAATGCTTGTCCATTAATGTTAGTTCACAAACTCAACTTATTATTGTGCATGTAAGTTGGATTTAAAACTAAATATGATGTTAAAAAAGGTGCAGGTGTTAAGGTATGGAATATCTGCCTGTAGAATTACTTACACCAAACTAGTACAAGAAAGGTCATTCTTGTCATTAGGTTTTATGTTTTTTATCAGGTGGCCACTAATCTATTATTAGGAATAAATAGCAGAGTATGTAGGAGAGACCAGTAGAACCTCAGGAATTTGTAACAGTACAATAAAATATTTAATCCTAAATGTGCTTTATTGAGTGTTGTAACCAAGGTACAATCTGAACCTGTTCAAAAGAATTAAACTGGCACAAAATAGTATCAGATCAATATCAGTATCTGGGCAACTGCCCATCTACCCCTCCCCTAACCCAACAACAGTCTATTGATAACAACTTAGGGTTAATACTGGGTTTGGGGAGGGGTAGGTGGGCAGTTGCCCAGATACTGATATTGATCCATAGTATCAGCTTGGATTCATTGCAAGGAATCTGTAATATAAGAATTGCTGGTAGAGCAATTTTCAATAGTGTCAAAATTGGATTGCTTTGTTTTTACCTTACTTCCCTTTGTGACTGATTCAGAAAACTTCCACTAATCTCATAACCAATCAGATGCAAAACTAAAACCAACCCTTATTGGGGCACATGCATTTTCCCACCCTTTTCAAAGTTTTCTTGTTTTAACATAAATGTTCCTATGGGCTCTTAACCATTTCACTCCCACAAGTGACCAAGACAGAATTTCTCCTTACAATATCAATACAATATCAAGCAGGCAGGTGATGAGAATAGAGAAGAATATCAATCATGGGATTATTAGTTGATCCAATATCAAATTCTCTGAACTAACATCATAAGAATTGTACAGCAGATAGTAAGGAGAGTTACTAATTAGATCTTGGGAGTGAAAAGGTTAAAAGTTTTTTCCTTTCTTTTGATTCGCCGTTGTGATTACTTTGGCTTTGGTTTTATAATGCTCAATTGTAAAAGCCCTCTATTACATCTTGTTGCTTGGTTAGACTGCAGTTGCAGTTTGCCGAGGAATCAGTTGAACCTTCTTGTAACATGCCATGCTGCAAACTGGCAGATTATTACTAGAACATGAATATTTCTTCAGGTTTGTACATCCCTGAGCTGAGCATGCTGATCTTGGTTTTGGAGGCCTGAAAAATATATCCCAAAAAAATTTAGTTGACCACAGAGCACACAAATAACAAATGAAAAGTTCCCATTGGTATGTTATACTCCAAGATATTAAATTGGTCATTATTATTTATTGTCATTATTATTATTATTATTATTATTATTATTTCCACCTTTTAAAACCTACCCCTGAGATGACTGCATTTGTAATGGAAACTCCAAGCCAGTTGAAAAAGACATAGCAAATCCCTGGTAATTACTGACATATCTGATGTGAGGAACCTCCTGCTTCTTTTTTCGTGCCTGCTAAAAAACAGAATATCAGACCATTTCCTACTAGGAAAGTTCAGTGCCAAACACCTCTCAAAATAATTAATCTCAAGCACTCTAGGCTGGGTTTGGTGAAAAAAATTCACAGCAGTCCTAGATTGACCAGGGAGTTACTTCAATCAACTTGGGCAAGGATAGCAAGTTGTCTGTAACTGTACACTTCACCCATCTACCTAGTGTATGGTAATGGTCAGCTGGCATAAAAATTGGGATGAAATTTGGCTTCTGTAAAGCATGTGAGTTTTTCATGAACTTTACCTTCTCCTCCTCTTTGCGTGATCTTGTAGCTTCTCTATCCAACAGTTTCTTCACAGTTTGTGTCTGGGAAAAGTGAAATTATTGATTGTGAGTTATACTAATCAGCATCTCCTCTGCCACAAAAACTTAGTTCATTTTAAGTATAGTAGTATTGTAATTGATAGCAGGGGTACCTCTGAAATGTGTGCACACAGACATGTCTGTTAACAACACCTTGGCTCTAAACATAGCTTTTTAAGTTATTATTGATTTCATACACCATTGAGGTACCTTATTTTCTTCAATTTTTTTCTGCATTTGCTGTTTTCTCTTCTTAGCTCTTTGTTTCCGTCTTCTCTGAGCTTCTTCAGTGTCTTCATTCTTCCGTCTTGGTTCTGAAATTGTGCGTTGCCTTTCATTAGTGACATAGATGTAAGAACAATGACATAATGAACACGAAGTCACTGAGTGATTGCTTATAGCAAACATGCAGCTGTGTCCATCAAAAAGCTCACAAAAATCTTACAAACAAAAATTCTACATGGGAATGGTAAGAGACCTCACAAAGCCTTATAGGCTGCAGTAGACCACTGAAAATCAGCTTCCATTATAACCTCTAGGTGGAATCTCTGCATTTTTTCCAGACATAAATCTCTAGAAAGCTTTACAAGGACATTAAGGAGTGAATGAAAATTAACTTGAAAAGAAGTTTATCCAACAGAAATCATCTTCTTGTATAGTTTCATCCTTCCCCTAACTTTGCAGGTTAATATCAATGCCACAAGTTGCCTTAGCCTTGAGTCAGTTCTGACAATTTTGGTTTATTTCACAAACATCTTACCTGTTGGAAGCTCCAAAAGTTGATTTTCTCCCTCTATTTCATGTCCAAGCATGGCTCTCTGACAAAGACATGAAAGTTAGCATTACTAGGAATTGTAATTACTACACCTTAACAGCCAAGCTGAGGATGGTGATTATCATTAAGTAATTTCACTAACTTTTGTTACTTTCCATGCTAAAAGTGTGTAAATGGTTTTGCCCATAACTTGAATGATGAACCCAGTTGTTCATGGGGCAGTTACATGTAATCCTTTAACACGTAAGAGTGACTAGCATCTAATTTCTCCTTACAATATCACCCCTGAATCACACATTAAGGTCACTACAATATAGACAATGATCACCAACTTAAGTTTCACTTCTTTGTTACACAAATTCTCCTTGTCAGCACCTTAGAATATATAAAGAGGACAGTATGAAGAATATACATTTTGATGTTAAGGTGTAATGGGTTAATGCTGGCCAATGGACGAATCACTCTCCAGCACATACTTGTTCAAAAATATACTGTGCTATCCAGTTTTATACAGTGGACAGTGTTATTCAGTGTTCAAACTAGCAGGGTATGATTTAATATAGATTTCTTTAAAATAAAAATTATCACAAGTTTTGACAACAAAAAAACAAACAGTTTTGGTTCAAAGGTATCCTACCTGTCTGGCAGTCATCATGCTAACATCCTTGTCTTGTTTGACGCGACCATAGTCATCCAGTTCACCTTTCTCTAATGCATCTAACCATTTCTGCTCTTCTTGACTGTCAAATAACATCACTACAGTCAAAGCTCATTTAAACAACCTTACTTTAAGTGAAGACCTTTCTTATTCTGGATAATTTGATAAAATGTCTCAACCTTTTGACCACAAAGAGTGACCCACATCTAATTTTCCCTTACAATATCAAGAAGTTCTTGATTGTTAAAAGAATTCTACTTGTTTATACCTTAGGAACGGTATGATTGGAAAACAATAAAGTCCCTTTTAATAAACTTATGAGGTCAGTCCCATAAGGTCAGAAAACCCACTTCAACTGTTCAACCGTAGATCTGAAGTAAAATATTCTTTTTAGCTGTGTTGCAACTATGAGTGTAAAACTAAAAAACATACTCATCAGAATCGCCACGTTTCTCAGCAACTTCAGGCTCATCTTTCTCGTCTTTTTCACTTCCTTAGAAACAACACCACACAACCTAATTAACTCTCAAAGTTATCATTTCTAAATACTGACACACTAAATTTCACTTGTGAAGCTACCCACAAAGTGCTCCCATTTTGAGCACTCCCAGTTCTTTTTTCCAAGTATACCTGTGTCATTTACTGAATAACAATCTTTCACAAAATAAGCATTACTTGATAAAACTGATGCAGAAGATTTCTATGAATCACGCCGTGTTTAGGGGAACAGTTTGATTTTATTATTAACCCTTAAACTCCCAGAAGTGATTAACATAAAACTTCTCTCTACAATATCCATACATTCTTCAGCAAACTAGCTAGAGGGGAGAATTAACAATTAGATCTCAGAAGTTAAAGGGTCAATAGCCTATGAACCATGGATAGGAGGTATGAAGAGTACACTTAACAACATGGAAAATATTTTTACCACCTTCACTCCCAGGATCTCATAAGAAATTCTCTTTATTGTCTGCTATACAATTCATAAGATGTTACTTTGGAGAAGTTGGTATTACATTAGCTAATAATACCCAGTTGATATTTTTCTTTATTCTTATCACTTGTCTGCCTGATATTGTGATGATATTATAGAGAGAAATTCTGTCTTGGTCACTCATGGTAGTTAAAGGGTTAATGATGCTTATATAGTGAATACTTGTCTATTCAGCAAACCTTGCCAAGATGGCTGATAACTATCTTCGTCTTCCTCCTCTCCACTGGTTATTACAGCCTCTGGCGGTTTCACAGGAACTATTTTTGCCATTCTAAAAACACAAGCCAGCAAAATGTTCAGTTATTACACTTTGTTTTGAATACTAGAACACCAGCCAGTTTGATGGGTTATTGAATATTTGAAATATTTGAAAAAACTCTAATCTACCATTACATATTTCCATAAGATGGGCTGGTTCATCTTAATTACACCAGTTTACTCCTTTCACTCACAAGATCTCATTTGTAATTCTCCTTGCTGTCTGCCGTACAATTCTATGATATTAGCTTTTGGTGTTCCATCAACTAATGTTCCCCTAATTGATTCCTTTCTGTTGACTGACATTTGCTTGACATTTGATCATTTCCATTTGTTCATGCCATTTCCCTCCCTCCCATTCCAAAGACTTTCCTTGAGCTCTCAAAGACTCTCAGTTTCCTCATTAAAGATGCCCAAATGGATTCACTATTTTGTTTGTTGTGTCATGTGAGTGTGGTGTGATGGGGTTAATTTATATTGCTACATGTAAGACTGATGCACTAAAAACCTAGGGTGTCATTTCAATCTACTCACTGTGTTGTTGCTAATGTTTCACCCCCAAGTTTTATCTTAAGAGTCACGGCTTTTCCCTCATCTTTATTGCTATCCCTGTCCTTGTCTTTCTCTCGTGATTTACTCTTATCTTTGTTCTTTTCCTTTTTGCGAGGTTCTTCAAGTCCCTCTGGTCCATGATCCTTCTTCTTCTTGTGCTTCTTGTGTTTGTGCTTGTGTTTCTTTTTAGGAGAAGTGGATGATGATTCTAATGCAAAAAAAGGGACCACTTCCAGTTAAATAGCTCTCTCATTTACATCTGTGTTTGGTTCTAAAAATCTTCATCAAAGAACACTCTACTGTCTTTCTTTTTCATACACCCCTGGTTCCTCCAGTAATAAGTTTCATCCACAACTCCCTTTCAACCCTTTGAGTGGCCAGCATCTAAAGCTTGGATTGATAAACCAATTCTCCTTGACAGTATCAAAGGAAATGGATAGAGAACAGTATGGAGAATGTGGATACTGATCTTTGGGGTGTAGAGGGTTAATTTTGCAACCTGTTTGATTCTTCAGTTTGTTTATATATTTGTCATTTTGAGTGTTTACTGCACTTTATACAGTAAGAAATCCTTTAATTTTATCGCTGTGATTTTTGATTGAGCATAAAATGCCACAAGAAATTAATTCTATTTATCAACATGATAAACAAAACCAACAAAACAAACATGCTCCGTGTGTCTTCTGATCAAAAGCTAACCTCTCCTTTATGAAATCACTTATTCCTTGACATGAATGCTAGATTACTAGATGGCCATAAATTGAGTCTTGATGCCCACCGAGAGAGTTTTATACTTGAATAAAACACAAGCATTAAAGGACGCAACTGTTCCAAAACATATCAACTAAAACCTGAGTCGTCTCCGCCAGATGATATGGTTACGAGGGGCTCTCAAACACAGCATAAGAGAACTCGATGATATAAAATCTAGTATTTGTAGTTCATTACAGTTCAAACTAGTGTAGAATAGAGACCTCTACCAACCTTTTGTATCCTCTTCGCTTGCTTCTTTCCGCTTCGGCATCTTTCTTTCTTATTCGCGTTTCAAGATGGCGCCAGCCTCGCTTTCATGGCAATTCTCCCACGCGATACCACGCGCGCGGAAACGCAGAGCGTGTGGATGGGTCTTGAAAAGTTACTTTTAACCTAGTTTTGCACGCTGGCCCCCTTGTATGGTCAGCTCGGATTCGACATTCTTTGTAAGTAGGAACACGTGTGTGGTATTCATTTTCACGCAACCGCTCTATATGTTATTAGACATTGGAGAAGGGTTAACACCAGGTTACAATTCAATTCTACAATCGTATCATGCCTCAAAATACGAACCCAAACCAGTTGAATCTCTGCTGCCGATCAGAATCCTTTACCGGGAACAGCGAAATCCACGTATGTCTTGCCAGAAAACAATTTGCACTTCCCGTGAATACGCAATGTGTCTTCATTCCATTCAAGTTCACTTTGCACAAACACCCTGTATCTGTAATTTGAGGCAAGATTGAGGAGAATCTTTTCGGCCTTCAGTAACCAGTCTGCCCACACACTCCCGTTTGAGGCCAAGGAATCGTAAAAAAAGCGTTTCTGCCCGCACAAACTACTCACTTCCCCTTTGTCAAACGGTGGTCTGTTAGCAAGCCTCCATAGGGATGCTATGTTCATGTAAGATATTAACTGTGACAGCTGCACCCTCCACTGACAACTTTTCTATTCCTTTATTTTACTTATAAAAGAAATTGTACCCAACAACCGTAGCGGGATATAATAATACCTTAGAAGTTCAATACATTCTTCATTTTGTTGAGTTATTGAGAATAAACAATTCTGTGTCAAGACACAAACAACATATCTGACTTTCAGCAGAGCTACTGATCAGTTTTCCATTCGGTACAAAAATAGGAAACGAAATT